GATCAATATCAAGATTTTATTCTTATTTTATTCTTATTCCTATTAAAATAATTTTAATAAGCACTCAAGCGCATTTGCCGGGTGCTGGAAATCTTTGAAAATGTTTCAATTTTAATGTAGGCTATAGCCAATTTTCAAGCTTTGAAAGTAATTAAATAACTATTTATAAAGATAAATTATCAAAGCGACACAATTCATTTCCAAGCCCTTTATCCAAAATCTAAGCAATGAAATAAAAAACATATTTATGCTCTGCATGAAATGAAAACTCCGCTGTGGCCTGACCCGCGGCGTGCGCATTTTGAGCAGTGGGAAAAGACCAAATGCATGGAGGTTATTGATTATGCGCCTTGCGCGCCTCGCGTTTTGTCATTGTGCGCTTTGTGCGCTCCAGAAGAAAAGCATGTTACCTCAGTGGCGTCTTTCATTCTTCAATCAAACGAAAGCAGAGGCGGGGTTTCCTTGGAGGTGACAGCAGTGTCAAGATGACTACGGCGAACTTTTTAATGACGGAGAGACTTGTGGTCGCTGTTTTAAGTCATCCAAAGTTGTATGACTTTACAAATCTTGAATTTCATAATGTTATTTAAAAAAATTAATTATGAAAACATTGACAGCAACACTCGCGCACAATAGACCAGCTGATTCAGTTGTTATCTATAGTGACATTCAAAAGAGTGCCGTGCTCCTTTTCTTCTTGTCAACATGCATTGCGGAGCGCCTCACGTCTCTGGAATGAAGAAGCGCGTTCGTTGTGATCGGCTTTTATGAGCAACACATATTTGTTAACTCGCATGACAGTAACACGTGCAAACACACGTGCTTACAGATGTTTTTTGCCAAAAAAGCAAAATGAAAGAAGGATATACTGGCCACAATTTGACACAGGAGTTGACGAACCAGCGCTGGTCCTGGTCGTCTGTGCTGCCTGGAGCCGCGTCATAAACTCAACTAGGCATATTCATAATTTAGTGCAGACTACAGTCAACAAACCACCCTTTTTTCCATTTGGAAAATAACAGTTATTAATAGTTCTTATATACATTTTAAATAGCCTGATCTACAAATCAAACAAAGACAAATATTTTATAACTTCGCACCAAACTGATGCTTTCATTTTACAGCTTATAAAACATGTATGCAAATTAATGCAGTATCACATGTAAATAACAAAATTGTTATATGCTTAGCCTATACTTTACAAAATGTATAGGTTCAAAGCCTTATGGTTCATTGTCATTATCTTTCACTATAGGCAGCGCGTGCGCACATGAACCGCAAGTAAGACGGAGGAAATAGGTTAAGTCATTATGGCCAATTATGGCAATATGTAAAATGTTGTTTTCTTATTAAACATTTATTTCTGAAATGTTACTAAAGGGGTTTATAGTTAAATGAAATGTTCAGTTCTTGATATAACATATGGATGTTATGTAATGTAAGTCAGTAATTGTAATGCAGCATCATAATGAACAAATATGCGCTAGTCATTGGCTTATATTAATAAGGAGTTCAAAAATGGTCACGTCCGTAACGCAAAATTGTGGTTGTTTAGAGCAAAGACCTGAGATGAGTTGGCGGTCATAATTAGTATGCACATATTTTGGCTTTGTATACAAAGTTTCATTTTATTTGTTATAATATTTATTCCACAATATAAACTTTTTCATTAAATCGTTACGGACGTGACACGTGACCGAAGCTGCGTGATGTCTTAAATATGTAGCTCATAAATCAAAAGGGCAATAATGTTATGAAAAAGTAAGGATAATTATTTATACTACAGACTCCAATCCTTCTGCAGAATGATTACTGTTAACATAAAGCATGGAAAAGGTGAGTCTTTAACCCCTTTTTTGAAAGCACGAAAAGTGGTTGGATGATAATGAAAATTAGCATTGGCACAATCCTCATATTTCATGGATAAACAAAACAATTTCCTTAAATTCAACAAGAGCACATCATAACAATAAAATATATACCTTAATAAGCAAATTGAAATAGGTTTTGCTATTTTGGTCAAAAGTAAATTTTTTCATGATAAGGTTGACATTTTCATGGAATTGCTCATATATATTATATATATATTTATATACTGTATGTATTTTTTGTGCCCGAGGTTGACTACGTTAGAGGGAGATATTACCAGACGCGCTAGTGGAACAGTGCCAATGTGGTCCAGGGGTCAGCGCGCTGCATTACGATTCTGCTGACCCGGGTTCAATTCTAATCTGACATGTTATTTATTTAATTATTTTTTTGTGTGTGTGACCACCGTTACAGTGGCAACAACCAGCCATGAAATATATACCACTGAATAATTCTTCAAAAATGACACATCTAGCAGAAAAAGATGAAGTTTTATGAGTGAATAACGGAATCATTTATTGAAAAGAGACTAAAAATAAATATGGGTTGTACAAATAATAATGCTAGATTTAGACATTTAGCGTTATCAGCAACAGTAGTAGTAACAGTGAATTTTTCACAGAACTGAATATTTTATAATACATTTTTATTCAGCTGATTATTTTTTCATTTTATTTTGTGAAACTAAATGTTTCTTGCAGTGCTGTTTTTGTAATAAATGGAAAGCAAATTATTTTATTTTATTTTATTATATCTCCTCCTCTTTATAGCTGATCTGAAAAATGGTCCGATCCATGACTCAGAAACCATAATGTGATCCGATCCCTGAGATTTGTGATCCGTTACACCACTACACAAAATAGCTTGGTGGGTGTTACGTGTTTATGATGTTAAAGTGGGATGCTGTAACATTTAAGTGAGACAGGTGTAATGTGTCCGACAGATCAAGAACAAGGCAAGAATCAGTTACTCTTATTTAAGCTTTTTGCTCAATAATTGAAACATGTAACAATAATAAATGGGGGAAAAAAAGAAATAAACATTTATAATTATTATCTTTAAACAAAAACAACGAGTGTAAGCCAAATCAAAGAAATTAACAAAACAATCCTTAAATCTAAAGTCTAAACTAGGCGTCAAAAAGAAACACAAAATAAAAACCGAGATCTTCAGTGTATACGACACTCGAACTAAACTAATTACACTAAATAACTCAAAATACACAGGTGGCAAAACACTCAAAATAATCTAACAAAACATCAATCTAAACTAAAACAAACCAAACCGCATAAGTCCGTCAAAGCTTAGTTTAGAATCGCACAACAACCATCATATTATGTTACTTAAAGCCAACAAGTTCAAGTTCAACAAGCAAACTCGAATTACCACAGTAACTGAGATAAATCCCTAAATAGACAAAGCATTTTCACAAACAAATTGCGTGGAGCACAAAGGGTACGCCGAGGCAGAGCGCACACCACACACTGGTCTGTCAGGGCTTTAAATCCTTGCGGCTTGTCCTGGGATTGGTGGAACCGGAGAGCGTCATAATGATGATGGACAGAATAATAAACCAATAAGAAACCTAAGGGTTGAGCAAACGGAGAGGAGGGTGAAAAAAAAGACAGAAAGAAAACATAAATCATAACAGTGGGTAAAATGACATTTTCCAAACAGCAGCGTTGACCAGGAGTGTCATTTATGAAGTGAAACCTTCCTAAAATTGAACATGCAGCTGAATAGATTTACTTTTATGTATTTATGAATTATTGTAGCTCAAATGATGACTTAAAGTGGCTCAAATAAGTCAGTATTTAAGTTAAATAATGTTTACTTACAGCTGCCCTCATTCTACTGTTGAGTTTGCTTTTTTTAGATCACAACCTTTGCGTGGAAAATGGTGTACACACATTTTCACCCTCATTTTGTGCATTTTCCAACTTTATAAATGACACTCTGAAATGGCCCAATTCTAAAGAAAGTTATAGTTTGACACAAATTACAGACACTTTGGGTAAAAGCATCTTCCGATTGAACAAAAGTAAAATTAATGCAATAGTAAAGCCTGTGGATTCAAAGATTGCAAATATAAGATTCTCAGCACTCTGGTCTTCCTCTACTGACCTTTATTAATTATTGTATGATGAAAAGCACTTAAAACAAGAATGGTTTGTGTAAAAAATGGCTCACATAAGGTGATATTTAAGCACATTCTGTATCCCTTTTTACAGGGCTGATTCAGAGAAAACTATTTGATCAACACTGCTCAGAGACTCACAGTGTTATTGTGTGAGTGTTGAGTGTGTTTGAGTCACTGTGGGCTTCAAAGCACAGTAATACACAGCAGAGTCTGACACTCGCAGATCCTGGATCAGCAGAGGAACTGTTCTTAATGTTGAATTCAGTTTTGCTGTAAATCTCTTGTTAAACTCAGGCTCAATAGTTCCTTCACTAAATGGAATTTTATTCAGGATGAATGTTGGGGATCTGTTTGACAGCTGTTTGTACCAGAAGAGAAAAATGTTTCCATCTGAAGCTGTAGTAGTGTAATTACACATTAAACTGACTTGATCTCCTTCATTTTCAGTCATTTCTCCTGAAGGCTGTTGAACTTTGTCTTGCCCCCTGCACACTGCAAATAAATATTCAACTATTACTTTGGACACAAATAAAGTAACTCACAGATAAACAAGAGATTGTAAATGATGATCTTTCTTACCAAAGTCCTGTGCTGTGAAGAAAAGAATAATAATGACCAGTGTTGTCATTGCTGAGATCTGTCTTTACTGTAGCTCACTGTTTCATCTCATCTGCTGTCTTCATGTTGGTCTCTGCTTCAGACTGTTTATTGCTCTTTTGAGAGATGCTGCCCTCCTGTGGTACATTTCTATAGTTCAGCCATTCATTTGGAACAGATCAACATTAAATCATTCAACATAGCCACGTACACACACACACACACACACACACACACACACACACACACACACACACACACACACACACACACACACATAATACGTTTCAAGAACGTCAACCACATTTAAATAGATTTGAATTCTGATGTGAATAAGTGAATTCTCTTTATTATTGTTCAGTGTGTGTAATGGAACATGGTTTATTGCTGAAACTGGATGATTGGCACAGTTGTAACAATAGTAACTTTAGGCAGTTAGCTACATGCTACACCCTTAAAATAAAGATTCTTTATTGGCATTGATGTCCCTTCTAGAACCTTTAAATTCCACAGAAAATTCTTTACAATACATTTCTGTAGGTTGTTTCAATGTCATTTTTTTTTCAAAAGAACAAAAAGGCTTTTATTAATGTGCAAATATTCCTACTTGATCAGTTCATGTAGTTTTTGCATTGCTGCTTGACCAGTGTGTGTTCTGGACTAAAGGTAACATATAGTAGGTCCAAATAAGATTATAACTGTTTAACAATTTACAAACATATTAAAGCCTTTAAATCTAACAAATTCAAGCATGCTGATGTTTTGGGTTTTTGTTCAGTGTTTATGTGTTTCCTGTGACTGTGGGCTGCAGAGCACAGTAATACACAGCAGAGTCTGATACTGCAGCAGAGGAGAGCAGCAGATCCACACGCTTCAGTGCTTTTACAGCGTTTGAAACCAGACGAAGATCAGGTTTAGAGCTGTTTGAATATTCATTTAGAGAAAGTAAAAACTCTGGTTTTGCTCCTGGATACTGGCGATACCACTGGAGAGAGTTAACAGTGCCAGTACTGGTGCTGTAATTACAAGACAGAGTCACATTTTGACCTTCAGCTACATGTTTGTCTGTAGACAGGGGATGTATTTCATCTGCAATTGAAATTCCTGTGGGAAAAAAAAATCGGAAATAGAATAATAGAAATGCAAAGCCTCAAATATTTTTGCAGTATTTTAGTTGTTTTTTTTTCTTCTAATAATAAACATGGATTGACTGAATATCTCTTACCCATGTAAAGCTGTATTATAATGCAGGTGAAGAGAAACATGTTGTCTTCATAGAGTCAGTGATGCAGAAACAGTGTTTGACTGAACTCTTTCACTCTGAGCAGTGTGAATAAACTCCACCCACTGCTCCACTCAGTTCATTTTATAACAACAGGGAGAAAAACGTTGTGTATTGATCGTATTGATCACTGGTGCTGTAAGTGCAGCGAAGCTTATTAACTGAATCTTGAGTATTTCACTGTCAGAAGATATAAAAAAACAAATTCTTTCTGAGCCAGATGAACATTGATGTACATCGGGCAATGTTGGTGTGAAGTTTACCAGCACACAACAAATAACAGATTACGCATATTGTAATGTGTTTAGGTGGAAACAGAGGTGTGGATCCAAACTCAGCTTTATTTAAGAATCATCAGGCAGGCAAAGGTCAAAACGTCTGCAAAAAGGAGCATACAGTTAATCCAGAGAATGTTTGAAATAAACAGGCAAATGGTCTGGACAGGCAGCAAAACAACGTGAATAATAAACAAAGCAAGGGTTAAAAACATGGCAAGACAAGGCAAGAATAACACCTAGTAATGCTCACTTACAGTATACAAGACTCAGCCCAAAAGTGAGTGTGTGTTGTGTGTATATAGTTCATGTAATAAATTATGGATTTGCTGCTCAGTGTTTAGGCCCTCAAAAGTGACTAATAAACCACACTGAACTGAGCTGAACACTAAATACTAAACTACACTGTTTCTATGTGCTATGATCTTTCATGTGAAGCTGCTTTGACACAATCTACATTGTAAAAGCGCTATACAAATAAAGATGAATTGAACACATAATAATGAGGTTTAGCTGTGTGTGTATCCAGATTAGTGTCAGCTAGGGCAGGAGTTAATTGGTGGAATGACTTTTGGGAGTAGTATGCCAGCTGAATGTGAATGTTCTCCAGCAACCTGTAAGAGCAACACTGCTGGTGATTAGGGCTATAACGATACACCAAACCCACGATTCGGTTCGTATCACGATTTTTGACCCACGATTCGGTTCGTATCACGATTTTTTTTTCATGTGGGGTGGAAAAAAAAAAGATTTTTAAAACTATATTTTATTAAATAACATTTGAAAAATCTTTATAAACTAAACATCAAAGAACAATATTAACTATGCAAATTATTAACAATATTCAATTCAATTCAGCTTTATTTGTATAGCGCTTTTACAATGTAGATTGTGTCAAAGCAGCTTCACATAAATGGTCATAGTAACTGGAACAGTGTGGTTCAGGTTTTAGTGTTTAAGTTCAGTTCAGTTCAGTTTAGCTCTGTTCAGTGTGATTTAATCATTACTGAAAGTTCAAACACTGAAGAGCAAATTCATCGATGCGTAGCTCTACCAATCCTGAACCATGCGAGGCAGTGGCGACAGCGGAGAGGGAAAAAAAACTTCACCTGATGGGAGTGAAGAAAAAAAACCTTGAGAGAACCAGACTCAGTTGGGCACGACCATTTTAATTTCTCCGCTGGCCAAAAGTCTTGTGCAGAACTTCATTCGCCGTGGTTTATGCTGGAAGATGGCCTCAATGAAGACTCGTCTGTCCCTGGAGCGTCGCTGGAATCAGACAATATAAATAGCATATATAAAATAAATAAATAGCCAAAGCTATATCACTTCTGTTTTCTTTGTAACAAAATACTGTTGAAAAACCAAACAGAACTAAACTCCATTGTGTAGATGGTTCAAGCATGTTGAAAATTCTTTTTTAATCAAGTTCTCTTACATAGAAAAAGTAAATTAAATGGCTACTAGGGATGCTCATTTCGGTTAATTTTGCTAACCGACAACCGCCGCTCATTAATCGGTTATTAACGGTTAACTGGTCAGATTACTATTAATTTTATATTAAACAAATTGACATGTCTATTTTGTGTCTGACACATTAAATATTGCATTTTAAAATAGGCTACTGATTTATTTTTAAATGCTAGCATATTAATAACAGAACAACAGAGCATCTTCACGCACCTGCAGTGTAGCACAGAAGAGCAGAATAATCTAAATAAAATGAATAAAATAAATAGGACTGCCCTAAATCATTTTCACTTAAATAATCAATTTATTTTACAAAACGAAAATACTGATTCTTTTTAACAACCGGCATAGGCTGTTTTTTCCAATCATGTTTTTTCTTCCGTCAAATAAATATCGCAGACTTCCTCAAATTGCCCGCTCCACGGAAAATATGCATTTATTTAATGCACCGCTGTTATTATTATAATCACAAAACCTTTTTCATTTTTAATAGAAATCATTATTTTATTTATGTCCTGATGGTTTCCTCTCTCTCCCTCGCGGTTCAAGTGCGCGTGCTGAGTGATGAAAAGACAAGAACAACGCGCGCATATGTAGACGTTTTGTAAACAGTTTTGTTGTTTAAATATGATATTGCATTAATGTGCATTCATGCTTTACATGCTTTATAAGCCGAAAACAAGGCGCATCTCACTGCCTTTATGTTGACAAGGAAAAAAGAAGAGAAGAAGCGCGCTCCTCTTATGAAACGGCTGAATCAGCTGGGTATCGATTGTGCATAAGTGTTGCTGTCTGTGTTGTTACAATTCTAATATTTAATACCATTGTGATATTCAAGATTTGTACATTCATCCAGCTCTGGATAACTTAAAACAGCGATTAGACCTTCAGAGCGGCATTAATGCGTCCTGAAGTAAAGCGAAACGGCTATAAACTCCAGCAAGATAGAGTGATTATATACAGAGCCATATACCTTCATCTATAAATAAAGTATAACTATAGAAACTGTGTTCATCTTAACTAAAAGCTTCGTCCTGTTTCCTGGCCTCACGCATCGCGCACCTGTCAGTCAGCACGTAACGTTAACTCCCAAAGGGTTAAACAGAAAGCGCACAGCAAGGTTACAGAAAAGTTTCCTCTGCAGAGAAGTCAGGGCATCTGGTGAACGCCCATCCCTCTCTGCGCAGCCATATTAACATCAATGCTTTGACAGCATTGGCAATATTTCTGCCATTGTCTGTTGTCAAGTGGGGTTACGTTGGTTTTGTTTTTGGTATTTTTGACACATTCAGACGGTCCCTTACTAAGAGCTCCGTGCGAGCTCTCCTGGCTAAACGCTTATTGCAAGGGCTTAAACCAGGGGTCTCAAACTCGCGGCCCGCGGGCCATTTGCGGCCCTCAGTGCAATATTTTGTGGCCCGCGCCGACCGCTGTACACTGACAGAATCAGCGGAGCGGGGAGAGAGAGCGCTCCCCGCTCCGCTGATTCTATCCGTACACAGCGGTCACTGGCATTCCCCGCCCGCCGTGTAAACAAAGGGGCGGGGATGCCGGTGACGTCACCACGCACCCCGCCCCTTTGTTAGACGCTGTGACGGGCGGGAAATGTTAACTCGCGCCGGCCAGAACCAAGGTAAGCTGTTCCCGCCCCTGCCTGCCACTTAGCTACAGCCTGCATCTTACAGGGCTCGAAATTGCGACCATTTTGGTCGCATATGCGCCCGAAAATTAATCTATGTGACCTCATAATATATTTGGGCGCATTAGTGCAACTGCTGATAATGGTTGTAGTGCGACCTCTTTTGTAAAAACGTGCTGAATCGCTCTTCCCTGCCTCTATATTGGTTCATATTAGCTGTCAATCACTCAAGGTATTCCGCTGTCAGATGACAGGGAAGGAGCTTTTATGACCACGGGAAATGCAAACGGCTAAAGAGTAAAGACTTAAAGCACACAGGTTTGCAAATCCCACCTAAAGTTGAGGCGCAGATGAGAGCGATCATGACACGTCACGTGGTGAATAATGATCCACCAGCTGAGATCAATCAAGTACGCGCTTCTTGGAGAAGGCGCCCGAATCTCCATGCCTTGCATTCACTGCGTGTTCAGCGCAAATGTCCGCTAAAAGTCAAATCTAATACTGTACATATCATCGCCAAAGAAGCTCGCCTTTACTAAGTTTACACTGAAACTGCGTCTCATAACAAACAGCGGTATTGCGCCGGTGGTCATCGCAAGAATCTTGCGCTGCCTGCTCATAAATTGGGTCGGCTGACTCGCCTGCTTTCCACTAACACAGAAAAATGAAGATCATCTCAGACTGAACCTTTAAATTGACACAAACTGAAACCAAAACTTTTAAAGAGTGATAGAAGTGAGACTTTACTTTCTTTCGTCTATTCTTTTTTGAGGTGTATATTATTTTTATTTTTTATTTATTTACTGATGACTGCTTTGCAGCTTTCATCATTGAATTGAATGATTTATTATAATCTTTTGTTTGTTTTGTAGCAGAAACATTATTTATTAAATTGACATGCATATAAAACAGCTGTACAAAATAAATATTTCTTACTGCAATGCTTAATTTTTGTTTGATGCAAACTATACAATTATTTTTCATAAAGTAACAGACTTTTTATAGCAGATAACCTACATTCATGCACATTCAAGGCAGTATCATAATGAGAAATGTAATTCATTGTTACTATTATTGTCATTTTTATCATCACTAATATTCTATAGCCTAATTATTAGACATTCATTTTGGAATTATTGCACACAAATATCAATGTCTTCGCAGCATTAGTTAGATAGTTGTTTCTGGTTTTTGTCAGTCCTATTGATGTTGTTTTAAAATACAATAAATTCCTTAAAAAGCAATTTGCAGCGGTGCTCAATCATTTTTGGTGGGTGCTCCTAAATTTTTTCTGGTGCTCCTAAATTTATTTTGGTGCTCCAAAATATTTGAAGTTGGGAGCACCGGTGCTACCAAGTAAAAAAGTTAATTTCGAGCCCTGTCTTATATATATTATAGGTAGATACAGACTGGTACAGACTGATGTGACTGGAGTGGGGTGGGGGTGTTTTATTTATACATATATACGCCTTTTTTTTAGGTGAGGGAATGGAAGTTTTGAGTAAGTTCCCCCACTTTTTTCCCTAGGACTTCAATAAGTCAAAGTACAGGTCTAGACTTAATGATGATCATCTTCAAGCCATACTGAGGGTCTCAACTGCTTCCGCTCTAAAGGCAAATGTGGTTCACATTTGTGAGAAGAAGCGCTGTCAAGTCTCTGGCAGTAAGGAGTAGGCAAAAGATGCCATGTTCAGAAGAACTGTTCATAATCTTCACTCAATGTTCTATTAATGTTCAGGACACTTCATGTTCAGAAGAAATAATTAAAACTGTTAATAATGACATTTGAGGACTTTTTTTTGTGAAATCCCTTATGTGGCCCAGCCTCACCCAGACTTTGCCTCCCGCGGCCCCCAGTTAAATTGAGTTTGAGACCCCTGGCTTAAACGGAGCAGTGCTCGTAATGTCGAGCGGGAAAAAAAAGTTTTCCTCACGTTCTTCTTCAACT